ATTGTACCAGTCCCCCTTCTTTTCCTTGACCCTCAGCCTCTATCGATAGTTTAAATCTCATTTAATCTTACAACTTTTTATAAACTTCACAAATGTTTCTGAAACACAAAAGGAACAAATTACAATTTTTAAATCTTCAAATATAGGATTTTTCAAGTTGTTTTCCTGAGAACATATTGTTCTGGTCTGTTGAAAAGCTGAAAATATAAAAAAAAAATCTTCCTTTCTGCCAAAAGCACAGTATTCTTAACTACTGATGGTTTGCCATAGCCACAACACAGTATCTTAGACAAAGTCCTGAAATTAGAATGCACAGATCCAGATCCATATATGAGATATATATAATACATATATTCACTTCCCAGGACTAGCTCCTTACATGGTCAAGCCACTTAGACTGGGAGACTCAGATTACTTTGTAAAATGGGAATAACATTCTCTGCGCCCAAACACAGGGCTGTGGGACACGCATGAAAAATTTTATAAACTGTAAGCTGTGGTCCTCACAGACAGCTGCTTTATTTCCATCTTTCTGAACAGCAGTTTTCATTGTTCAAGAAAGAGGGTGTTGAGCACTGAGCTGAATATGGGTTGAAAACAAGACCTGTGCTTTGGATATTTTTATTAATCTTTTATTTATCCTACCTACGGGATGCAGAAAACTTCAGATAAGCATGAGACACCCAGAACTGATTATGAGTGAGTCCTTGAGGGTGAAGCTTTAATTGAAACCAAGTCCAGCCCTCGAAGCCAGACCTGGGCATTCTTCTCTCCTCCCCTCTACCCCGACCTCAGAGCCTGGTTCACATGTCAAAGTAAGGCCTTTGCTTATCTTGGCATCTCCCAGCCACTGCTCACCAATCCATCCTCCTGACATCCTACAGCCTAGTCTTTCTAAACTGTAAATCTGAGCCTGTCAATCCTCTGCTTACTTCCCACTCTACAGAGGCCTAAAAGCCATGTCCATATTCCCAAGCTCTGCACCCCAGACCTTCCAAAAGCCAATTCTTCCCCAGGTTAACCTGCCACAGCATCAGCGCGTCAAACTCTTCTCCAAATACTCCATATTGTCTCTTCTAACCCCGTGCCCCCAGCCCACCTATCTGTTAACCTTCATCTCAAACTTCAAAATCAGTTCCAAAGTCACCGTCCTCAGGAGCCTTCTATGTCCCGCAAGCCATTTCCTTTCCCTGTGCTCCCATGGTAGTGTGTTCCTATCTCTGTTATGGAATTGTGCCCAGGCCTTGCAGGGGGCCTGCACTAAGTGTCCAATGTTACTGAATGTACGAATGAATCTCTTTTCTTTGCCAGGACAAGAGAGGCCACTAGAAGGAGTGAGGTTTTGCCAGTTTGCTTCAATCCAAAAGCAACAGCAATAGTAGCTGGAGAGTAGGAGGCGCTCTGTTTAATTAAAATGCCGACAAGATATGCAAGGTTCCACTTGTGCATTCATCCCGCACCATGACGCAAAAGCACCACCCCAGCCTGTCTCCCCAGAATCTATGCTCCCACAGTCTGGTATAAAACATTCTCACAAGACAGACACAGCCAAATTCCTAGACTATAACCAGAAGTTGAGATACCACGGGGTTGTAATACACATGTAAAAAGTAGGAAACTACCCAAGTTATCACTGAGAAACAAGTACGTGACTTAAAGTATAAGGCAGACCCGATGAGTTACCCAGAGGCTGAGTCCCAGGTAAGCTCCCCCGAGGTGAGCATTTAGACTGCACAGCTGTTGTCTTAGTCTGGCCAGGGCCCTGCACTAACACTGCTTCTTCCACTAGGCACCTGCTCATACTCCTCCAAGCATGAGCTCCTCAAGGAGGCTGCCAACGACACTGCATGTGTGCCAAGGCAGGATGGCTCCAAGTCCCTCCCCTGTCTGGCCATCCTGACAGAAAGACAGGAGGGGCAGTGGAGTGTGAGTCTTCCTTCCTCTTCTGCAACAAACTGGGAAGATGTGATCCCAGCAGGGCTGGCAATGAGGAGTCCAGCCACTTGGAACGAAGTTAGGGGATGTAAGAAAAGGCAGCCAGCTCTCAGCGAGATAGAATCAGTCCTTCCAGTGACACACAGCAATAAATTTCGCTTTCGCCAAAATTAGTTCAGGCTGGGTTCCTGCTACACGAAAGGAAGTCCCAACCATAGAGTACCTTGCCAATCCCTCCCTCTCACTGTCACAGCCCCCTGCCATTCCTTGCCAAGTACCTTAACCTCCTTATGAAGATGTGGGTATGCTATGCAGGGATACATCTTTCTATCAACAGCAGCCCAAAATTCTTTTTGAAGTGCCAGGGTTTATATGACTGCATGAATTATGAATCCAACAAACAGTGCCTCACAACAGAAGGATACATAAGTAAAGCACAGCATATCCACTTGATGTGATGTCAAATAGAGATTTCCAATGCTTATCAAGAGTAAGCTATAAGGTAAAAAGAACTGCATATTATATATGAATATATAATTATATGCTTCATCCCCTGCCATCCAAATTTTACTATATGAACATTTTTAGGATGGCAGTGAGAGAAGGATGCATTTTAAACTAAAAAAAAGTTGTTATCCAACAGTGAAGGATATAAGAATGGACCACAAACACTGCAACTCTGTCAAAGGGCCCTCTGGCCAGGCTTTTTATCGTCTCATCTATAAAGGCACACAACTCCACTCTCCTCGTTCAATTCAAGTGATGGCTCCTCCGGGAAAGTTTCCCTGATATAAGCATCTTTTCCATACAATAACAATTAGCTTTAGATGTAGGAAGTATATGGTAGTTTGGGTGAACTATTAACTTGGCTGGCCAGGGGACCCGCTCAGGAGATTGGTGGAGCATACTCTGAGAGTGTGTCTGGATGGGCCACAGAGGTATGGCCTTTGGGTCTACGGCTGGTTCCTCTGTTGCACTGCTCCCCTCTTCTGCTTCCTGTCTGCCATGCACTGTCTGCCATCTTTGTTCTGCCTTGAAGCCAGTCAACCACAGACTGAATCCCCCGCAGCTGTGAGTCAAATGAAACCTCTGTTCCTTTAACTTGTTGGTATCAGGTACTGGGTTTCAGTGACAAGAAAGCTGACTAACACAAAACGCTTTATACTGTGTCATGTGTAATATTCCATCGCCCTTAGACAAGTGAAACCTTCAGAAATTATGCCTCATATTTCCATCAGCATGTAGAGGAGACATCTGGTGTTCAGTAATTTTGGATTAACATGAGAAAGTCTTCTAATAGCCTGCAAGAAAATGGTATACTTCAACACTACTGATGGCAATCCTTTGGACTAATAATCTGGCAGCATAATTAACCAATCTAAATATTTGCCCTATACTACCCAGTAATCTCATCCTGAGAATCCATCCTAGGGATTTCAAGAGAAAACATCTTTATGCCTAAAGATGTTCATTGTGGCGTTATTTACGCAGGCAAATTCTTTACCCAACTGTCTTCCTTTTCTTGTTGCTGAGACAACATACCCGTAACCAAAGTTAAAGGAGGAAAGAGTTTTTTAGTTGTTTTAGAGTTTGTAGAGGTCTCAGCCCATAACTGGCTGGTTTTAAGGCAGGGCAGCATGGCAGAGGAAATCACGGAGGAGAAACAATTCATGGTGGGCAAAAGGTAGCAAAGCATCTTTCTGCCTCTTTTATACTGTATCTAGGCTACCAGGATTAGGGCAGTGCCAATTCAGTCAGTGGACTGATTTAGTAATCACAAACCCTTAATCCTAGCATCACACACTCTAGATCCAACCACCTCTGAAAAGTCCCCACCTATGACTGCATGAGGCTTTAGAGGTCATCTAGACATAAGGCATAACACCAATGAAGGAAGAAAGTACTAAATAATCATGTGAAAGCTATCAGTGAAAAACTCTGCACCATTCAAAAACGTGCGCATGACAGAGTAGGTGAACACAGAACAGTACCTAGCCTCTAATTAGACAGAGAGCCCAAGTGCACCTGGAGGGTAATTTTGGAAACCAGAAGAACTGTATTGTTAGGGTGGTCTACTTATACCTGATGGTTTCTTGTTTCTCTAAATTTCTATTATTGGCCTCTTAACATTTGTTTAAAATGTTATTAAAATGCACAAACATTTGTATTTCAATTCCCTCTTTCAGCATTCACAGTGTGATGTCAACCTATGGACCCTGGCATCCTTGCCAAGAGCAGTCTTCAGTGAACCAACCACAGTACCGTACCTGTGGCTTCCCTTTTGAGCTCTCTACTACAGACTGCCTGCCCCAGGCTCTAGAGCAGGTAATTCAATTAACCTATGTGTTAGTGATCATTTAGACTGCATCCAACCTAAGTGCACCAAGGCTATGTACCTAGATGTGACTCTCAGATGGGATTAAATTAAAAGATGCTGAATATTTAAGTTTTAACATAATTGAATTTTAATAAGCCTACCAAATTTAGAGAGAATTTTTAAATGCTAATACCCAATGCTGCACAGAGTAGTCTTAAAAAAAGATTACAGAGAGTAATCTGGTACCGTCCTTTGTTCCAGAACAATTTAAGTGTATCTATAAAATAGTTTTTAAGATATATCCACACTCTTTGACCCGGTTAATTGTACTTCTATCAGAAATAATCAGTGGGTAAATATTTATGTAGAAGAATGATTGCTGCAGTATTCATTACAAGGCAAAAAAGAATGTGAAATAAATGTTCTACACTAAGGGACTAACTAGTTAAATCGTAGCCAAGTGATGAAATATTATGCAGACACACACACCAAAACCTATTTCTGAAGAACACTCGTGACACATATCAACACACCAAAGGATGGACACTGAATTAGAAAATGGGCTGCAAGACTGTATTTTCAACTTGATACTGGGGCCAGAGAAGGGGCTAAAACATCAAATAGTTGAGCCAAGTCATTTCTAGGTAAGGAGACCATGACTGAAGTGTCTTTTTCTATTTCCCTGCTTTCTGCACCAACCATCTTATCTCCCTATAACACAAACTGCCACACCACCGGCAACACTCACGTGAATGGTGCGGGCTCCTTTGCTCCCCTCTCGCTGGGCTTCCTCCAGGTCCCTCTCCAGGCTCTCTTTCTCCTGATGCAGATCGCTCAGGTCCTGGGTGACCTTCTTAATGTTCCTCTGCAATCTGTGGTTCTCGGAAATCTTGGTGAGGTTTTCTGAGCGCAGCTCAGCCAAAAGGGCTTCCTTCTCTGCCAGAGCAGCGTCATGGTCTTCAGACCCCTAGAAGAGAAGGGAGGGGACAGAAGAGCTGATTTTCACACCTCATTAAACCAGGAAATCTGTGCTCCTTTTTCAGCTGGGGTGAGGGGATTAACATAGACAACATTCAAGACAAAAAGGACAAACATGCTGATTTCATGACACAGAATAGTGTTTACAGTATAACACTGATAGGAAAATGGGAACCTACTTGTGTAAAAGAAGTACTCTTAAATACAAGAAAAAGGCATAAAATGTGAACAGTAACTGACTTTAGTAGTGTGGGAGTATAGTTTTCACCACTTCCTTCATTTCTCTGTATTTTGAAGTGTTCTAAGATAAGTAAGCATGTTACTTTTACAACGATTTAAAAAGAAACAAGCAGTAGAAAATGAACAACTTCCCTTGAAAAACAGTAATGGGTGTGAGTGTTGTCAATGTTCATCTGAGATCCGATGGTCAACGCAGAGTCAACTAAAAACAGAGGCGTGGTCAGCAGGGCAGTTCAAAGGCTACTCTGAAAGCCCAGAACTTTAGCAAAGGCCAAGGGCTAAATGTGTTAAGGACATCTTTATCTCATTCATCTACAGTTCACCTGAAAAAACACCTATGTGATCACAAACATAAAAAAAGTTCTAAATCATCAATAATGAATTAAAACGAGTTCTCAGTTATCAAGTAAGCTTTTTTTTAATGAGAATATTTAGGGCTGGCAAGCTTAGTACACAATGGCACCCTTCATATTCGCTCTCTAAGAATTGGCCAAGCACCTACAGGCCAGGAAATATGCTGAAAGGAGCTTACATTGATGCAACCCCATGGACAGATTATAGGTGCCAAGTCCATGTGTATAACATAAACATGTTCACATTAGCCTCAGTAATATCATCCCTGAGACTCGGTCTCAGCAGAATCAGAAATGTTGGTGTGGGGATTTATATACAAAGTCATTCATCTTAGACTGACTTACGGTAGAAAACAGTAAGAAACAAGCTAAATATGTAATCATACAAAACTAAAAAAGATACACAACAAAACTGTATTTACAAAGAATCGATAACATGTGAACATTACTACATTATGTTATTTTAAAAAGACCAAGAGGTATATGATTGTTAAAAAAAAAAATCTATGCATAGGAGGAAGTCTAGAAGGAAAAACATCAAAATGTTACTATTTGTCTAGATTTGCCCATTTTTCCTTCTTTTTAGTTTTCTGGAAAAAAATGTGGAAGCAGAGGAAAACACACTTTTTCTAAATTGGGTTTTTTTTTTCAATTAGACTGAGGCTTAAGGTTAAGAATTCAAAAACAATTGATACTTGAATTGTCAATGCCACAACTCAGATTGGAAAAGAGACCTCAGTTTCTTGGCCTTCCTAGAAAATTCATTTCAACACCCACCACTAGTTAAGTTTAGCTGTTCAGATTGTCAACCCAGTTGTTTAGCAATAGATTACAATCAGTTAACTGGGGACAGAGGAGCGGTGCTGTTTTGGGCCACCTAAACCCAGACATCTAGCCCCGTGACGCCCTGACTGCTGCTTTAAACACAGAAACATGCAATGAGAATGAACCCTGTTCAAATCCCGACGTAAGTTTATGAAAACTTTTATAACTTTCTTTGAAATCAAAATAAATAAAAGGAAGTAGGAAGTGTAGGTCACAAGTCAAGTATTTTTTTAATGTCTGTGACAATGCTTAAATAAACTCAACAAAAGATAAACAATTGGAAAATCCTCCTCTTGAACAGTATTTACAGCTACCTTTTATTAAGCATTGATTTTATAAAAGGAGCTAACCCAAGCATAAGCACATTTCCACACATGATACCTCTATTTCTCACACCAAATGTAAAAGTACACATGATTACGCTCATTTAAGCAACTAAGGCTTCAAAACTGCTCAACGCGCACACCGTCATAGGTCCACAAGTGAAAGACCTGGAATTCAAACAAAAGAAGCCCTGTTCTTCCTGAGGCAGAGCGTGCATACCCTTACAAGTGGGGATCTCAGTTAACACCAATAAACTGGGAAGAATAAAAACAAGCCGACTGAATGAGAGTGGGAAGGATTAGAGACAGGAGCATCAGTTAGGAGCATGTTAAACATTATCATTAGCAGTTACGGTCAAGTGATGGAAGTTCTTCAGGATTGTCATGTAAACTACAAGAACAAAGCCCCTTCTTAAAAATCCAAGCTCAGCTGGGTGTAGTGGAACATGCCTGTGAGGAGGATCAAAAGGCCAGTCTGGGCTACATAGTGAATTCAAGGCCACCCTGGATGACCTAAGTAAGATCTTGTCTTAAAAAAAAAAACCTCAGCTCAAAAAATTCAAATGCACAGATTCCATTTATTTTATTAATACAAAAAAACTTTCAATATGAAATGATATGTTCTCTAAATGGCCCTTTGAAAAACTTTTCTGGAGGGCTTTTTCCCTTTTTCTTAATGATATCCCAATGGCAAATATGTAGTTGATTAGCTATGATAAGAAACAGAAGGTCAAATAGAATCTTAAACAAATCATTCTTTCTCACTGTTTAGGAACATGATGAGTTTAATACAGACAGAAGTAGTTCAAGACCAGTTTTAGCTGTGTGACATGGGAGAAGATGTTGAAGAACTGAATAAAGACGCTACAGAAGGAAATCTACTATAGGTGAATCAACAATTATCTCAAAATAAAAATAAGGAAGACCAAGCAGAACTATATATACCACTATAGCAAGAATGTTAGGTAAAGTAAAGTTTATAGAACAATAGGTACACCTCAAATGAAGCAGCCAGTATACATGTGCCGTGTACCTTTGTACCGTGTACACAATCTGATTAACAAAATAACACAGACTTTGGAGACACACTTGAATTCGAGTCCTGACACAAACTGTCTAAAGCTCACAAACTAGATAAAGACTCAACACATGTTCTCTGAACAGCCAACACAACACACACAACCTGAGGAGTCCGGTACAACACTCCTTATCTCTGTGGACTGCGAGACAAGAAATCCTGCCAATACTGTGCATGACGAGACCTAAAGTCTTTTTCCTGGGACTAAGGTTATTAATAAATGTATGTATGTAATAAATCTGGGTAAAATTTAAATTTATAAGACTCCTTTCTTTCCTTCAAGGCCCAACATAATAAGTAAAATATCACAATACTTCCAAGGATGTCTGGTCTCTGGCTATCAATTACCAACACACATATTCTTTTTTTAAGAAATGGAAAATACGGTTTTGCTAAGAATTCAGCTTTTAAAACCTGATTATTTCTTAGGCAAGGAAAAAGGAAAAACCCCAGTGTATAAAGTAATCTCAGCTCCATTTTATCAGCCACTGTCAAAACAGTGGGAGAGGGCAAGTCTGAGATCCCCAAAACAGGTTTCTCTATGCTCCTAGCATACCATGATTCAAACCAAATTACTTCAATTATTCTTAGTGTGAACCAAAGCTCTGCAAAAGATAAGGCTTGGGATATGAATCTTAGAATCAAACAGTCTTAAATTAGATTTAATTTCTAACTTCTCCTTACAACCAAGAGCAATATCGGTGCAGGAGGAGGGGAGGAGAGCTTCAGGCCGCGTGGACTCACTGTGAGAATGGAACTTTATTGATTCATGAAATTATTAGTAGTAGGCATAAACTGTGCAGAGAAACTAGAAACATGGGAATAAAATGTTAAAATAATCAAAAGCATGAAACTAAAATTAGGAAGAGACAGGGAAGACCAAGGGGATGTCCAGCAGGAGTCCTTATGGTAAAATATGAGAGGCAGAAAAAGAAAAAGAAAGGCAGGTCAAAAACCTGAAAGATTGAAACCAGATCCTAGGAGGAAGCAGAGAGGATGGAAGCAGCCTGCTGAGGAGAGGTACAGGAAGACAGGCTGTGGCCTGTGGTGTGAGAGGTTCAGGGATCTGGAGCAAATTCCTTGAACCTCTCAACCTCGATCTCTTCAGCAATAAAACAAGGATATCAACAGTGCCTATTTCACAATGGCACTGTCAAACCAGGCTAATCTATGGAGAGCTCTTAGCAGGGCTTAGCACAAAGCATGTGCTCAATAAATGCCTGCTGTTATTCGCAATTATTACATTTAAATCCCAGTCCCACCACTTGCTAGCTGTGTGATAGTAAATAAGCTGCACACCCTCGCTGAGCCTCAAAAACCTCACAAACGTAAGAGGGATGATAATTAACCTTCCCACTGGGCTGTGAAGATTAAATGAGATAATCCACACATCCTGCATGATCTAATACTTGGCACAAAGTGAACTCAGTACTCCATCCACAGGGGCAGTTGTCATTGTTTTTATATTGAGGAGGGTGCTGGAGACCTCCCAAAGCTGGTGAAGAACTTCCCTTTAATTAGAGCTAATTCTATCAGTAAAGACCTCCCACAGTTCTCTCTCTTAAAAGCATCCAGATTCCCTTCAGCTGCTAACTCCTGACTTCACCAGGAGTAAGGATCAAAGAGGTAGAGCCTGGGGTGGGGATGTAGCTCAGGATACAGCAGCACCAGAGCTTGCCTAGTATGTGTGAGGATGTGGATTCTGTCAGGAGACAGACAGACAGACAGAAACCGAGACAGAGACACAGAAGACAAGCTAAGGGGAACACTTACGTGGAATTTTAGGGTCTGTGTTTTCTGCGGAGCCTCTCTAGCTTTAGCCAGGGCAGTGCTGAGCTCTTTAATCTCACAGTTAAGTTCTTCAACCTGAGGAAAATAAAGAACAGTAACCATGTGAACAACTGTCCTTTCCTCTCTCTGCCTATCCCAAATGCTTTTCCTGCTCAGTTAGGTGGTGCTTACAGTCAATGCCTTTGTATCAGAAAAGCCCAGAGTGAAATTTCTAGTTTGGCCACTTACTAGCTGGGTGACTTAACCTCTCTGAGGCTCAATTTCCTCAACTTTTGCTACAGTTTGGATGTGGTTTGATCTCCCTAAAGTTCCTTTGTTGGAAACTTGGTCCTCAGTGTGATGATGTTGGAGGGGGGACCTTTAAGAGAGGAAGCCCAGTAGAAAGTCCTTAGGTCAACTGAGGGCACGCTCATGGGAGGGACGAGGGGAACCCAGTCTCTCTGACTTTCTGTTTGGTGATGTGATCTCCCTGTGAAACACACCTAATCATCCACCATTACGCCCTCACCAGAGGCTGAACACATGCGACTGCCCAATCCTGGATTTTTAGCCTCCCAACTATAAACTACATATATCTCTTTTCTTTGTTAATTACAGTAATGAAGAATGGACTTATACCACTGTAAGCGAAGATATTACCACTTGTCCCACTGTGGACTTACGACAGTTAAATGAGGTAATGTATACTGGTGCTCAAACAATGTCTGGCTCACACTGTTACTATTATTACTGACCTCGTAGATGACACGTCCAACAACCTAGGGTGGCCAGCCCCAGAATTCCTCATCTTCTAACGCCCTCTCCCAAATCCTGTGATAGCCATGAACTACCATGCCCATACCCTGGACCTGGACAGCTCCACCAGTAAGGACACACTGAAGCTCTCTAACTTCGGCAAGGCCCAGACCTCCCCATACAGGATTCGAATTGTCACTTCTATCATTAGGAGCCGCACTGATGGTTGTTCAAACTCTTACACTCCCTTCCCTTCTTCCGCACCAGTTTCCTGCTAGTTTCCTACTTCTGCAACCACTCCTGTCCCGGCTGTGTGTACTCCAGCCAATCCCCTGAAGTTCTCAGGCCCCTACAGTCCCATCCTCAGCCTCCTTCTTTCCCATTCTATACCCTCCTTAGATTCAGCTCTCAGAACTTTAACTCCCACACATGGAGAAGTGATCGAGCTGAGTCCTCTCCAAACTCTAGATGTGCACAGCCTCTGCTTCCCGAACAGCTCCACGGAGAACCCACAGGCTCCTCAAAGTCAATGCTTTCGCAACAGATTCGGCACTCATACCCCACTTTCCATGCTCTGCACTGAATGGGTGGCACCCCTAGGTCTCTAGTAACGCAAGCCAGACCCCCAGAGTCACTCTTGACCAGTCCTCTAAAGTGCTCCATCTGACCGCCAGACTTTCCCAACAGTATTTCCAATTTCTAATTATTTCTAGTTTTATTTCTTGAATACACCCCTCTCCCTCCATTCCACTTGCCATGACCACTGCCTCATTTAGTTTTCTTGGCTCTCCCCTAGGCTTCAGGCTTCTCTGCCTCTATTCTCCCTCTCCTGCAATCCGCTCTCCTAATCCAGCCAGAGACCTCTCCAAAGTGAAAACACGTTCAAACCCCTGCTGCTCAGCGGCGTGCCACCCAGCCGGCTCAGTAGGATTAGTCCCACCACTGGCTGTGCCCCTGCAGCAGTCTGGCTTCTCCTCCCATCTCATGCTGCACTCTGGCAACCCTTAACCGTGGGCAGTGCCACACATATCACATCAGGCTCTTTCCCAGCCGAAGGCCTGACCAACGTCCTCCTCCTCTCCCAAGTGCCCACCCTGTCCCTGCCTCTTTCCTAGCTGACACCTATCATCCCTCAAGACTCAGCTCAGACAGCTCCTTGGAGAACACCCCTGGTCCCCACACCCACACCTCCCTCTGCCTCCCCAACCCCTTATCTTCCCACAAGCACAACACCTCTCACTCCTTCCTCCCCACCAGGAAGCAGAGCTGCATGTCTGCTCTGTGTCAGGACCCCGCGCAGCTACAGAACACAACAGATTGCTGTGCTAACTCCTAACAAGAAAACAGCCACCAGCCACCGCCTTAGATCCCAAAGGCAGCAAGCCAGGTGGCTCTCTAACTGGTTGACAGTCACAGCCAAGCCTCCCAAAAGTCCTTTATCTCAATTTTCTGTTGTCCTTCCAAAGATGAGACTGTACTGTTCAGGAGGAGAGCCCCAGCCACACAACACGTGGTGAGTCTGAACTGAGAAGGGCTTGGATTTCACACCTTTCAGTACTGAAAAAAAAAAAAAAAACTAAATACTTCATTGTTTCTTTTGTTATACTGAGTACGTGTTGAAATGATAAGGCCTGAAAGGATGCATATCATTAAAATTAATTTTACTTGTTTCTTTAACACTTCATTTAATTGGTCAATAGAAAATTTAAAATTATATGATTAACTTATAGTATATTTTTATTGGACAGCATTGGATGAGACACTCAAAAAAGATCCGCAGTTGACTAAAGGATCCTTCCCCTACTTTCTGTACTATTGTAGCTCTCTTATGAACTTTTTATCTAAAGCTAGAAATTCAGGATAAGACAGGCCAGTCACAGAAACTAATAAAGAAAAATCTCCCTTCAAGTGTATCACACGTACCTCTTTTTCCTTTGATTTTAATGCCATGGTTAGGCCCTGGATGGCTTTATCCCTCTTTAAACTATTTTTCTTCTCTGTAGCAATTTCTCTTTCCTTCTCTCTCAGGTCCTCCTGAAGTGCCTAAATTTGATTAGAAAAAGATTCTCTAAGTTGATGCGTTCCAACCAAAATGCACTGTAAATATATCTTTAAGAGCACACTCAGACGCAGTTATTCTATCTTCCTCCTGTCAACCTGTGATTAATGTTTCCAAGTCGAGCTGAATGTGGTGGCATCAGCTCTGAGTTACTGTGTTCCTGCTCACGGCAACGGGGCTGGGTGAAGGGAAAGGGATCAGATCAGTCGAGGCAATGACAGCTATTCCTATGGGAAGGACGCCAATGCCTTCTAAAATTTGAATACAGTCACATCATAGCCTTTGAATCTGTACTAGGTTATTTGGGGGGAAATAACAGATCATTAATTTCATCCCTTAATGCTACAAAAGCTAGCAGAGAATTTGGTTTGATGGAGACTGAACTATACATTTATAGTCTGAGTTCATTTCTAAAGATAATCACTGCTGCCTCCCTCCTGGGCTGTTGTGAGGATCAAATAAGATAACGGCTGTGAGCGCTCTAAGCTGGCAGGCACGGTACAAGCGCCGTTGTTGTGATGGGGGCCCGTGGAGCACTGGCTTGGAATCAGACCGGCAGGTCTGAACCCTTGGTATGCTTCTTCACAGCCACACATGCTCTTGGGCAAGTAGCTTCACCTTTCCGAGCCTCAGTCCCACATCTGCAAAATGGGAATGTCTACTTCATAGAGTTTTTGCAAAGACTGAGAACCTTCCTCCAATAGGCTGTACGCTGACACACTGTAGCGTTCAATCAACGGCGGTTATCACCACACAGAATTGTCTATCGCACTCAGGACAAACTAAGAGGCAAGAATAGGATGCATCTGCACTACATTTTTAAAATGTATCAACATACCTGGATCTTCTCTTCAAACTCTCTTCTCTCCTTCTGATGCTCCATTTGTGCAGCCTAAAAAAAGCCGTTCATTGGTGACCGGAAGCAAAAGCACCCACAATCCAATAGCTTCCCCAGAGCAATTAGATTGAAAACTTCATTCCCGTTCTTTCTCCCACTGCTGTGGGGCTCATTAAGCCAAGTGCCCCTCCTTCTCTCTGCCCCACCTGAAGTCCACCTGATCTGAGTGAAGAAAAATGTGAAGACAAGCAATCCAACTGGTGGATCCCCGGCCCCACCAACAACAAACCCTAGTGCTGCAGAACACATGGAAAGGACAGGACCCAGGCAAGGGTGAGAGGCTTAAAAGGAGGACAAGAGCCAATTCCAGATAAAAAAAAAAAAAACCAATTGACCTCTTCCATGAGGCAATCTGGACCTCTCCTGAGCCTCCAGAACAGCGCCCAGGGTGAGGGAGCACAGGAGCAAGCACCCTTGGTCTGACAACGGAACGACCTGTGCTTCCCCAACCTTTCACCCTGCCCAAGCAGCCTGCCATGAGGCTTCCAGGCGTGGGGACTCCAGCGAACTTTGCAGTCAGCTACTAGCAACCCCCTTCTTGGAGCCTGGAGAAATATAACAACTCCCCTGAGACTAATTCTACACTCCACCAGGGGACCACGCTCTCTACCTTGCCAGGTGCTGGAGGACGCATGATTCACAGAACCCCTTGCCTGTCACCTGGCCAGTCCGCTGTTTCCTTATCTCATTGCCTCTGAAAATTCCAACCGAACGGCCTCCAGCCTACCCCTAACCACAAAGGTAAAACTGTGTGTGCGATGTACCACAATCTCACCCCACGAAAGCCCACAGGATGAAAACGAAGTCCCCAGGCAACAACACCTTAACACAGGGTGAAACAGAGGTGAGCAAGTGCAGGACTGTTTTTTAGCCAACTCTTTATAGGAACAGGAGGTGGGGGGATATGCCAAGGCCGCTGACAAATGTGGTTTCTGCTGATCCCCTGCTGACAGGGAACTTATATTTGGAAGCCAGCTGTGTGCGCACTGTAGACTGAACGGCGTTCCCCCTCCCGTAGAGGAGTCTGATCTGCTGCAGCCCTGCTTCATGCCCCACCGCCTCACCTCAGCATCTCTCTCCTTTTCTTCCCTCCAAGCAGCAGAAAGTCCTCGAAGCTCTCCAGATGACACATTCTCATCAGGAGATGCCATCTGAGATTCCTGCTCTTTAAGGCACTGAATTAAAGCTTCTTTGCTCTTCAAAGACAGCTTCAACTCCTCAATCAGCCTAAAAGAGAACAAAATTTAAATATTAATTCTAAACTGTTCTCTTAGCTCAGGGGAGCAGAAGGAGGTAGGAAATGGGACCAGGCTTCTTCAAAGTACACACACCCAATGGCGGAACATAAAGAGAATCACGTTTCACAGGTCAGGGTTCGAGGGCCAAGAAGAATCTGTGTGCATTCACCGGCCCCCTTGCCTCCAGCCTGGCCCCAGCTGATCCAACCCTGGGCTGCCAGACTCCAATCTGGTCATGCCACACCTCTGCTCAAAGACCTGCTACTGCCCCCACCACCAAATAAGCAATGGACAGCTTTTTTTTTTTTCTTAAGAAATCCTCTCACCAAAAGAAATTTGCCATTGATGCCTAAGCAAATGCAACCAACTCCTTGAGGGCACTTCTAGTGAGTGTGGGAAAAAAGAGGGTGCCTCTCCATAGCTTCTCACAGCAAAGCTTAAAAACACACTGACTTTCAAGCTAAAGGCCAAAGTTCTGGACAAGGCATTCAAGGCCCTAACTTTTAGGGCTGTAACAGTCTCAGTCTCATTTCAGAGGAGACCACCACCCTGTCCACTGCCCCTTGGTACTCTTACTCCCAGCTCTCCTCAAAGCCAAGCTGCTATATGCCTCTGCCTCGGATAAACACCCACCTGATAAACACCCACTCTCCCCAGGGTGGTTAAACACCTTCCCCTCAAGGAAGCTCTGCCCACCACACTGGGGAGAGCCTTCTCTGAGCCACAGCATTCCTCAAGTCAATTGCTTCCTGCCCACAGCAAGCCACTGAAGCTCTCTATGCCTGCATTTCCTCAGCTTGAAATGGGATAACTTGCTCACATCAGTTAGAGATAAGCTATTTTAAACAACCCTGCACAGCTCCTGGCATATGGCAGAATTCCACAAATGACAGTCGCTATAATTATTACTTTTTTAACATTCAACAATTAGCATTTTGTCAGTGGACCCTTTCTGTAGTCTTTCTGTAGCTAAACCTAGCAGCAACTCAGTATGGTAGAAAGAGCAGAGAGGCTTGGGATTCCAGCAGAAGCACCCAGGAAGCACCCAGAAGGTGAAGGGGAGACACAGGCAGGAAGCACCCAGAAGGTGGAGGGGAGACACAGGCAGCTGAAACACCTCACAATGCTTGGGGATCAGTGTGCTGAGCACCTGCACGATGCTCCCAGAAACCTGCAGGGAGGTATAACATTGCCCTCTAGGGGCTCAGCTCGGAAATCCTAACAATCAATGGGATAGGTAGAAAGTTACCTAACTATAGACTTAAAATAGATGCCTTGTATTGCATGTAATCTACAACTCAGGAAAATTGATTTTTTTTTTTAGTTACCACAAAGCAAGTTCTAGATGGGGAATGAAAAGATTGGGGCAGGCCTGGTGGGGACGAGGGCCACCCGAAGCACCAGCGCATCTACAGGAGCAGCAGCCTCCACCCCGCAGGATGCACCCCGTGCTGCTGCTTCTCCAGGTCTCCAAGTGAACCGGAAATCCAGACCTGTACGTGAAACTTGATATTTCAAATACTGCAATTAATTCAAACTTTAAAATATTGTGCAGACCAAAGAAATAATTCTGCTGACTGTACTCAACTGGTAAGCTTCCTCAACATTGACTGCTTAAAGACAGATTAGCTCAAATGCTAGATTGAAGGAAATAAAGTGGCTAAAACACACATCTTTAAAAAGGGTGGTGGGAACCCAAAAAGACACCTCATCCAAGCTGGGGGCTGGGGCCTCGAAATCCTACAGTCTGCCCTGCCCAGTGCTACCCACTCTGTGTGACATATCAGGCCCTATCTCACCAGGACATAACCAAAGCCTGCTCCAATGTGTGCTGACCTTTGGACCTGGATTTAGCTTTATGAGCAGGCTAGCTTTTAGGTGTTGCAGAAAACAGACCAAACACGGGAAGAAACAGTGCTGAAAAGGTTTAGGAGGTAGTTTACTGCATGGGTGGGCCTCACTGGGATCTGTCCCAAAGAGTCAGAGCCCCACCCACAGGGTTTTGGGACTTTTACAGGGAGAACAAGCAAGGAGGTACAAAGGCAGATTTGGCACACTGCGATTGGAGGGTTGGGTGACATCACGGGTTGCTAAGGGAGCTTAAACATCTCAAGTTACATTGCAAAGCCATCAGTTAAACAAGTATGGGTTACCCAAAGGGAAAAATGTTCCCTTATATTTGAAGTTATACTGCAAGGCTATCTGAAGTTATACTGCAAGTTAAACAAGCATGAGTTACACAAAAGAAGAAATGTCCTGTTATCAGGTTTGTCTGGACATGTCCATCTGGTTTTGGCAGTGTCTTGGTTACTTTTCTCTCATTGCTGAGACAAAATACCTGACACCCAAAATTAAGGAAGGAAAGGTCTATATTCACCTGGCTCCAAGGCAGAGTGGCACATGGCAGAAGGCAACAGTTCATGGCAGCGGAAGACAGAAAAGCAGCTAGAGCAAAAAGAGAAGACAGCAGGCAAGAGCAAGCCTCTTTCCCTCCCTTATGTTGTATGCGAACTACCCACCCCAGGACGGGTGTAGCACTCACACCCATAATCCCAGCACTGGACCATGAATCAATCATAAACTCTAGAAGCCCGCCCCATGTTTGCCTGAGGCTTTAAGGGACAGCCAGACACAAACCATAACATTCTACCCCTGGTCCCCCAAAGACTCATGTACAACCCTTTACGCAAAAGGTATTCTAGTACATCTCTAAGAGTTGCCAAAATCCTAACAGTTTCAGCATTGCTGAAAAGTCCAAGTCCCAAATCTTCTCTGAGATTTAAGGCAAACTCTTAGTTGTAAGCCCCTGTACGAATGAAAAGTTAAACACAACATTCAATGACACAAAATAAACATTTTCATTCAAAAAGTCAAAAATGAGAATACAAAAGATTGGGACCAAAGCAAGTCCAAAATCCAGCAGGGCAAACATTAAGTTCTGTAGTTCTATGTCCCGCATCTGAAGCAAACTGTGGCACACAGTGCGCTCCAAAGGGCTGGAGTGACTCCACTCCTACACTTCCGGTGGTTGTAGCTCCCACAGCCTCTCTCTTAGGCCCACTTTGCTCCCTCCTTGAAACTTTCCTCAGATGATCCAGGTTCCTGACTTTTGCAAACTGTGGGTTCTGCACTGCACCTTTTGCTTCACACTCACAGCTTCACACACTGCCCTCTCAAGGGCACACTGCCTGGCCTCCCAGGCCTTTTGAAATCCAGGTGGAAGCTTTCTTACCCCCGGAACTCTTGCATTCTGCATGCATCTAAAACCAGAGCAGCATGGTCTGCTGCCAGCTGCAGCAGTAGCCAGGCTTTCTTCTCTCTTGGCTGTAGCAGTCGAGTGCCTAGATCACTGAGCACTCTGAACCTGATTCTGAGAAACAAATTCTCTATGCCACCAGTATTCTGGAACATAATGTGGTTTCTGCCATTCTGGAACACCACACTCCACAGCTTCCTCCTCATAGCAAAGTCTTTTACCTCTGCAGGCTTGAGGCTGCAAAGGGTGGGGACTTGCTGCTTCTTGTGATGCCCTCAGGCCATCTTTTCTATTCTGTTCCTTCTCAGCAATGGAGACTTCCTCAGCTCTACCTGAGTGTAGCTTCCTTTCTGGCCAAACTCACAACTGTTTTAAATCATCCTGCTGGGCTCTTTGCTCTTGATTGTCAACATAAATCTGGCTAAAAGCCCCCAACAATAGTCATGCGACCATCTCAACATTCGACTGCCTTGAAATTTCTTCTGCCAGATTAATTAGTCCATTGCCTTTAATCTTAGTCTCAGCCAAAGTCTCTGGACATGAGCAAAATTCAGACAAACTTTCTGCCAAGCCATAACACACATCATCTGTAGTCCAGCACCCAATGCAGTCCTTCTTCCCACCAGAAACCTCCCAAGCCCGGTCTTAATCAGCAGGATGTCTATCAGGCTTCTGGTCTTCAGAGTTCTGACCAGAATCTCCCATACAGAACAGCCTAACACATCCCAGTGCTACTCTTTCAGGAGACATCTCCAAAGCTTTCCAAATTCTTCTCACAAGCCATCTTCAAAGGCTCTTGAACCCATGGTCAGGTATAGTCACAGCAATGACCCCACTTCTCTGGTACCAAATTCTGCCTTGGTTACTTTTCTCTCATTGCTGAGACAAAACACCCAACACCCAGAATTAAGGAAGGAAAGGTTTGGCTGGGGATATAGCTCAGTGGTACAAGTGCCTGCCTGGCAAGTGCAAGGTCCTGAGTTCAATTTCTAGTACCAAAAAAAAAAAAAAAAAAAAGTAAGGAAGAAAAGGTTTATTTAGCTTACAATTTGAGGAGGTTTCGGTCCATACTCACCTAGTTCCAAGGCAGAGTGGCACATGGCAGAGGGCAACAGTTCATGGCCATGGCGGCAGAAGACAGCAAAAGCAGCAAGAGCAAAAACGGAGGAGCAGGCAGGAGCAAGCCTCTTTCCCTCCCGTGTGTGGTATGCAGGCTACCCGCCCCAGGGTGGATGTAGCACACACACCCATAATCCCAGCACTGGACCATGAGTCAATCATAAACTCTAGAAGCCCGCCCCATGTCTGCCTGAGGCTTTCAGGGGACTTCTAGATATAAATCATAACAGGTAGGCACTCTTGGCGGGCTTTATTAAAGATTTTAATTTCTCTTTCATAGGGAGGGCAAACACTGATCCTTGAGTTTCACAACAGGTCACACCCTGAGCAGAAATCCAGTTGACATCTGGCTGGTGTTGACTGCAAATGTGGTTGGAAACCTTCATCCCTGACACAGACCCATTCTCAGGGATGACAAACTAGCATTCTGTGCTATTTAGCCTGACCTATAGAAAACCCCAGGAAATTGCAGTCTTTAGCAACGTCCTAACCTGAACACCCACATCCATGGAGAACTCACTACCTACACCACAGGAAATACCCTCCAAATTCCCTCCATCAAAAAAGATGAGAGGTCAAGCTTCTACAGTATGCATAGATGCGGACACCTTTCC